TTTTGTGGTACTGGGGGTTGAACCCAGTGCCTTCATACTGAGCTACATTGCCGGCCTCACCCACTTTTTACAAACTTTGAGTCAGGGTCTCATTGAGTTGCTGAGTTGCCCAGGCTGGGTTCAGTGATCCTCCTGCCTCAGCCTCCCCAGTGCTTAGATTACAGGTGTGCACCACCAGATCGAACAGCTTTGTAAGTAAAAACATGTTCTCACTATGGCACTTCAGCAGTCACAGGTGCCACACAGATTAGCTGAGGTCATTAAGCAGTTTAATTGGAGGACTAAGATTTTTAATCAGAAGCCCTATATCCCTGCTCTCCCTTCCCTCCCCAGGTCATGATGAGTTGGTAGCATAGTACTACTTGCAGCTTTAGTTTATTGTATTTTAAATTTTGCTAAATTCTTTACTTATACTTTTAGACTATATAGAAATCACATTATTAATCATAACTTATGTTTGTTTTTCTTGTCTATAGTTTGCTGCGCAAGAAGAAAAGAGGCAGAAAAATGAGAGAATGGCCCAGCATCAGAAGCATGAAAACCAAATGCGGGATCTTCAGTTGCAGTGTGAAGCCAATGTCCGAGAACTGCATCAACTACAGGTTAGATGAGGAAGGGAGACAGAAAGCTTGTAGGGACAGGTGGCTCACATGGCTGGGGTGGAGAACGTAGGGGAGCCCAAAGAGAGGGCAGCTTACTTATGAGAACAGTGGAATTTAAAGGTTGTAGTTCCTGTAAAAACCAAAGTGAGCATCAGCTGTATTTATATTTTGTGTATCTGTGATTAATGTAACCATGAAGCTAAATTTTAACCTAAGAAATGGAGTCATTCAAAAGCGTATTGAAGCCAGGCATGGTGGTACATGCCTGTAATCTCAGCACTTGGGATGCTGAGGCAGGAGGATCCCAAGGGAGTTGGAGGCCAGCCTGGGCTATATAGTGAGACCCTGTCTCAAACCACCCCCGCAAAAAAAGTAAAATCAGTATTGAGTAAATGATACTTTGCAAGATAGAAAGTTTTCAAAACAATGCAGGCAGTTTTGTCAATTTAAAATTTCTTTTCCTTTTAAAAAAAGTGATAAATATATAGGAATGTTTTTCTCTAAGAAATATAAAGATGGCTGTTTTTAGACCCATGCTGGAGTGGGTGGCCTGATTAGTGCACAACCTAAAATGTTTAGAGTTTCAGAGTAGTACAGACAGCGTGTGGATATTCTAGGCATGTGCTTAATTTTCTGGTATAGAGTAGTACCTGATTCTGTGTTTTGGTACCATATGATACAAAAAATAAGTAAAGGCCCTAGTTAATTTTGTTTTTCTTTTCGTGTGATATTTTAACAGATCTAGCTCAAAATCTACAAAAATAAAACTACCTATTTCATAATTCTTACCCCTTGCTTTTTAGAGGAGAATTTGAACTTAAGTAATACATTTATATTTGAATAATTTATTATTTTAGAAGATAATTGTATTTGTAAAAAAGCACTTAGTTTGTCTGTAATTTAAACTTTACTTTCAGAACGAAAAATGCCACCTGTTGGTTGAGCATGAGACTCAGAAACTGAAGGAATTAGATGAGGAACACAGCCAAGAATTAAAGGAATGGAGAGAGAAGTTGAGGCCTCGGAAAAAGGTGACTTTAAAAGCTTTCCTTAAAACATTGTGTTCACACTCCTCCATCACTCTTGGCTCCTGGCCCACAGTTTGTCGGGTACAGCATCAGGGCTGGGAGTAGAGATGGAAGGACAAAGCTCTGTTCCTGAAGGCTCCAAGTCCAGGGACAGCGTTTACGTATTGGTGGGATCACCATTCTGAAGGCAAGAAGTGCAGGCTCTAGGAGAAGGGAGTAGAGTGGGCAAATAGAAGAGGAGGAGGAGCAGGAGCAATTCAGAGTGCTGCCTGGAGAGGTCAAGGGAGGCTGTAGAGAGGAGGCCTCCTGTGAGCCCAGTGAAGTGTGAAGGGTTTAACAAGAGCTTTCTAGGCAGATGGGCAGAGAGTGGAACCAGCAGAGAAGAGAGATTGAGTGAAAGTGGCGCGCAGAGAGAATCGCGAGTAGTTCCCTGTCATTGGAGCATGGCGCAGGGGGAGGGGGAGCTGGGCAGGAGTGGGGCCTTAGGAGGAAAAGGAGGAAAGGAAGTGATGGCAGCCGAGTCTGCACAGGTGACTGGTGCCAGTTCTGAGGCCATTGTGTGCTATGTGAAGTTAAAATCTTGGAAAGTAGGAGTGTCTTGCCTCCCTCCCTCTGCCCCCGCCCTTCCCTTGTTTACGCTTGACTCCCTGCGACCTGGTCTCCTTGGTGAACCATTTCAACTCTGTTCGGCTGTCACTGTGATTCCTGTCCCTTTGTGAACTCTCAGGCCTGAACTTCATTTTCTCATGGGCTATCCATTTCAGCCTTCCTTTCTTTCATTCGTCTACCCAGTCAATTGAGAAATAGGTATTTAGCTCCTGCCAAAGACCAGAAGTTTCTAGAGGAAGTGAAATACCAGACTCAGAAACAGTGTGGTTTTAGACATAACATTTTATTTAAGGTTTTTGCATAGGTAATATATTCCTGTGGTTCAGAATTATAAAGCTTCAAAGGGGAAAACAGTGACAAGTCCTTTTCTCCAGGTTCAGCCTGGCTTCTACCTCAGAGCCCTCGTTTGAGCTCTTTGACCGTAGTCACAAGTGAGTTACTGTTAACGAAGTCCCCTAACTGTGTCTCATTAGAAGTGTCTTCTAAAAAATTCTCTTCTCACTTGTTTTTATGACAGTTCTGTTCCTTCTTTGTGTTCTTTATCCCTTTTTCTTTGTCTTCCAGTCTCCAGAAGATATTTCCAAGTTTTTTTATACCTTTAGTTCTGCCCTTTACCTTCCTGATATTATATGTCAGTCGTGGCATATTTAAGAATAATTCCAAAACTGAAATAGTGGGGTTGTACAGGATGTAAACTCTTGAAAATCATAGGTTCAGGTGTCAGCACTAACACTAGTGATACATTTTGTCATTTAGTATTTCTAGGCCCGTTTTCCTTGTTTGTAAAATTTTGGCAGGACGTTTCCCTAGTTAAAGAAAGTGATATGTGTGTGGCTGAATGGTGCCATTGCTCAGTGGTGTGGCTGCTCATTGTTTTTGTCAATACCGGCTTGAGCCTGGTGTGGCCATTTCCCGTCAGGGTGTTCTGTTCCTCTTCCTTCTGTTCAAGCCTCTGTGCAAGTGTCATTTCATCTGTGCCCACCTCAGACATTCTGTATCACCTTTTCTGTCTGCTTCTCTATAATATTCATCACCACCGGTGTATTTGTCTCTTGTCCTCCATGCGAATGTAAGCTTCTTAAAAAGCCTGGGCTGATATGCACCCAGGTTTATAACAGTTCCTGGCACATTGTAAGGGATCAGTACATACCTGTTAAAGCTGACTGAAGTAAGTAAACTCCGCAAACATCAAATCATCAGTATCCTTTTTTTCCTTCATGTTCATCTTACCATTCCTTCCTTTCTCTTTATTGGCGTCCAGGCTAGAAACCTAGTGATCTCTTTTCTGTGAATGCTACATTCTATGAGATACTAGTTAGTTTTGATTCTCTTCATATTATTCCTTTTCTTTCCCATGACTATGCTGCTATCTGCTGAAATTGTTCAGTAATGTCCTCACCGGTCCTCTGCCCTTATTTAGTTCCCTTTTCTTTTTTCTCCTACTCGCCTGCATTTATTCTAAAGGACATCTCTGTTGCTTTCATGGTGGTGTTGGTAAATTGTCAGTTCCATCAGATTGTAATGTAAATGGCTTAGTTTGTGCCGTACTTGAGTCAGCTCTGAGCTTCCTGTGCCAGCAGCCACTTTGTTCCCAGCACATGCTCCTTCAGTGTAGACTTGCCATTCAGTGCTCTGCAGTTTCCTGCCTTTGTGTCATTGTTTCAGCTTCCTGTGTCTGGCGTGCCTTCCCTGTCCTGCCTATTATTCTTTTCATGACTAAGCTCAAGTTTTACTTCTCCCAACAAACCTTCCTGCATCTTTCCGTCCTTTCCTATACTTTGGACCTCAACAGTAGCACTTACTCTTAATTCAGTTGGTTACAATCTTTGATCCCTGTCTTAATCAGTTTGGCTCACTGTAAAATAATACCATAAATTTGAGGTTGGGAATTCCAAGATCAGAGTGCTTGCATGGCCAGTTTCTGGGTTATAGACTGCTAACTTCTCACCCGTGTGTCCTCACATAGTGGAGAGGGAAGTGCTTTCTCTTCAATCCCTTATAAAGTCACTGATTCCCAGAAAGCTCTGTTCTCATGGCCTAATGATATCCAGAGGCTCGGACTCCTAATGCAATACCATCAAATTTAGGATTAGATCTCCTGGAATTCAGATATTTATCAAACACTTACTACTTTTGCTCTGTATTATGTGAATCTGGTTTCGATCTTACCTTTACACAGCTCTATACAATCCACTGTGCAAGAGAAACATCACATTGATACCTAACATAGAAAGTGGTAAACAGTGTGTGGGAGAGACAGGTAATAGTGTCTAGGTGTCATCTGTTGGTTGCCTCCTATGTGTTAAATACATCATTACCACCTTTAATCTTCGCACAGCATATCGCAGAGGTAGGTGGTGTAACCACTATTTTAGGCAGCAGAGGAATTAGTCTTCAGTGATTGAACCATACTATCTATTCATGTGTCTGAGCTGAGCCTTGAACCTGGGCTGTGCAAAATGTGTGAACTTAATTACCGAGCAGTTGTGTCTTCCTTAGGGTAATAGTCTTTTTGGAAAGTAGTTTTATCTTGGCTGCCAGAGTAATTCTGTAAACAGTGTAACACCAACACATAGCAATTTCTTTGTCCCTCTTGTTTTAGACACTAGAAGAAGAGTTTGCCAGGAAACTACAGGAACAGGAAGTGTTTTTTAAAATGACTGGGGAGTCGGAGTGCCTTAACCCATCGACACAGAGCCGGATTTCCAAATTCTACCCTATTCCTAGCTTGCATTCCACTGGATCATAACAGTGGGATACTCTATTGGGCTTGGCTTTCTTAAATATGTCATTCTGTTCCCTTCATCTTCCGCCACCATCTGTCTCAAGTAGCTCACAAAGACAATCACCGGACTCACCTTTTAGGTGGTTTTGTTTTGTTTTAAGCAAAGATGAAGGGAAAAGGAACTATGACAGATGCTAAGCCATGTTGGCAAGGTAGCATCCTGCAGTAATTCCCTAAGGTGATTTGTATATTAACCTTAAATATGGTATTCTTTAGACACTGTTACTGAAAAACTGTTAGAGAAATAATGTTTAAAGTTATTGAAGAACTGTTACATCACTAAGTATTAATATCTTTTTACCGGACCTACCTTCTCAGTGATACCTAAATTCTATAGTTGGAACTTTGCTGTAAAGAATTGGAATAATTATCTTCTCGTAAATAAGCAGCACTCATAAAAAAAGCTATGAGGTGCTCAAAACATGCTATTGACTCAGTAAATACAAATATTTTATCATTTAATAGGAACAAACTTTTAAAAGAGAAAAATTATTTCAGTAATTTGTTTTAAACATTGCCTGATTGGGCAGGCACTAATAATTGAGGTGCTGGTTTTATTAAGATAGTGCCTAATTTTCAGTCACATTCAAAAATAGGATTTTCTTTTTTATCTTCAGGGACAAAACACCCTTAGCATTCAACATTATTGTTTTTAAAATCTTGTTCCTGTTACCGTTTTCATTCTAAAATATATGTTGTACAGAGTTTGGGATGACAGGGGGAAAAAGGGTGTTTTAAAATGTGCAAATTGGAAATGGAGAACTCCCTATGTTACAAGTAATATAGGTTTAGCTGTCCTATTTTATTTCCTAAAATAAGACATGAACTGTCTAAATAACTTCTGTACATCTTAGCAAATTCTGTTCACTTAAAGCTCTCAGAGGCCTATAGAGTTATACTTATAAATATGTTGTCTGAAATTAATCTCAGAAACATTTATTCAGAATAATTTTTTAAAATTTTAAATATTCAGGCACACATCATAAATGACTTTTTGTTTTGAGATGAAGTTATTACATTTTGATTTTATTTTGTTCCATGTTTAAATTATTTACTTTGATTTGAGTGGGAAAAGCTTGAACCCTTTATCACGTGGTTGCTGATGGGTGTAATTATTAAGATGTTCACTGTTAGCCCCTTGAGCCTTAGACTTTAACCACGTGTCAGTTCAGACAGTGTTATGACCGAACTCTGGTTTGTAAAGGAGGCCTGCTGCCCGCCATTGACAGCCTGCTCTCTTTCCAGAGTGCCGGGAACCAAATTGCAAACATTTAGTTTTTAGTTCTTTTACTTCTGAGGCTGGTGAAAAATGTAGATGTAATGTTGTGAGAACACTGATTCATATTAAGAAAATGTAAATAAATGCCTGTAGCACTTTCTTGCAGTTAATTTGAAAACTCTGGATGATGAATTTTATTTTGTCAGTGATTTAGACGATTTAAAAATGCATGTGTAATTTTAATTTTGTAATTGTTTTGACAAGCAGAATTTACTTGGACAACTTTGTAGGTAGCCTTAACTTCTGGCCAAGTTTGTTTTTTATATAAATATATAAATATATATATATATATACACACACACACACACACACACACACACACATATATTATGTACTGAGGCTGGTGAAAAATGTAGATGTAATGTTGTGAGAACACTGATTCATATTAAGAAAATGTAAATAAATGCCTGTAGCACTTTCTTGCAGTTAATTTGAAAACTCTGGATGATGAATTTTATTTTGTCAGTGATTTAGACGATTTAAAAATGCATGTGTAATTTTAATTTTGTAATTGTTTTGACAAGCAGAATTTACTTGGACAACTTTGTAGGTAGCCTTAACTTCTGGCCAAGTTTGTTTTTTATATAAATATATATATATATATATATATATACACACACACACACACACACACACACACACATATATTATGTATGGTTGTAAATGCATATACTTATCACATGAATGTGTTACTGTAGACAAAACTCTTAATGCTTTATTCTCAACTGCTGGGTTGAAAATTGTTTTGAAAGCCTTTAAAATATATATCTTTATAAAGTAATATTCAGGATGATGATGGAAATTGTTTATATCGTTATGATAAAAATGACAGTATAATGTTACCCAGTGTATTTAATGATTTATTTGAAGAGGAAGATGGGAGGAAGACCCTCCTACCACTTTATCTTTTGAAATTTTCAGTTTATTGCCTGTTTAAAAATGAATATTTCAGCCAGTGGATTTTTTTTCAGTCATTTAATTTCAGACATCATTTGATCTGATTATTTGGTTCTTTGTATTCCTTTTCATTTGACCTTCAGAATAGTGAATGCAGGCAAGGCTCAGAGCAGGCTGCTGACGTGCGGCGGAAGTTAGCAGCAGCTTTCACATCCCACGACCCTGCCCTGCAGACTCCTCGTTCACTCTGAGTTCTCTTAAACTCTGTGTTGTACGAGTGCGGGGCTCTACAGGGGTACTATGTAGAGAGGAAACATTCCCCATGGTCCTTCAGGTTATAAAAACCTACCCAAAAAGTGTCTTGTAGAACATGCTGTCGCACCCTCCCTGTCTGCTTTCTGTAGGCCCTGTACCACATAGTGATCTTCGCTTCTTGCATGAAAGTGTGGGAGGAGTGTGGGCTGGGGGCATGCACTTTCTGCCATGTAAGAGCACCGTCAGTTCTGTTCCTGATTAGATTCTGTTGTAGCTGTGGCAGAAAGGGCCACGCAGTGCGAAAAGGAATTGCCCTGTGCACCCTACACAGTCACCTCCCCTCTTCCCTGTGCACTGTGGACATCCAGACCTCCACACTTCTGCAGGTCCAGCTCCTAGAGCATGGCGTCCGGCTGCCTTTCATGGTCCTGTCCCTAGGCTTTGGAATTAATGAATTAGCTCTTACCCTAGGTGGAGTCACATCAAGCTTTTACTTACCCTTTTCTAGGGGGAAGCTACGGGATGGGTGAGGAGGAAATTCAGAGTGCTTTTACTTCCTGGAAATATTGGAATCTTCCTATGACAGGACACAGCAAATTATAATATAATTAACTATAAACCAGAACCATAGCTACCTCTTAAGTAGTGTTTCCTCAAGCACAAAGCTCTCAGGCATACACGACCCTCTTTAATGAAGGGTCTCTGATTTCTTGAGCATCAGCAAGTTTCAGAAGTGACTTTTTTGTACTTTTCCAGTTCCCTTTGCACACTTCTCCCATTCCATACTGTGCTTACATGACTCTTCTGAGAAGCCAAATTCAGTCAAATTACTAGTTAAGAGATACCGTGGGTTAAAGGAAAACCTAGCACTGCAGGGAAGAAGAGTTCCAGTTCTAGGAGTCATCTGATTAAGTAAATCTATACTTTAGTGGGAAATGATATTTTGTAGGAAATGGGATGATATTTTAAATGCTTTTCTACGTCAGAGGCATAACAGTTAATGCCTTATCGTTGCTGTTCTGTGGCTAACATGGTTCCAGTAATGCTTTAATATTTCTGCTGTGAAGCTTGGAATAGAGTGTTTCATCAGTTTTAAATGTTGGCTGCAGCTTTTTGTGATTCTTTGCAGTGTAATAAGTTCACAAGCAAAACTTTCAGAAAGAATTTTGTTTCAGATTATGCCTCTTGTCTCTTTGGGATCAGTATTGTCTTTTCAATCTTGGGATTTACAAATAAAAAATAAAGTTATTTCTTAATCTATCTTGGGAAGCTGTTGTTTTTTTAAAATTTGATAGTCTTTGAAGCTGGGTCGTCCTGCATGAGAACACTTTGCAGCTTCTTTGGGGTCTTAGTTGTATTTCGCCATCCTCCAGGCCTTTTGACTTTGTGATTTTTTTAGTATTCCTTGCTGAGGTGCTCGCACACACATGCACACATGCACAAATATTTACTGATAACTTGCTGGTGTGTCTTTCAGTGTGCAACTCTCCTTTTGGAGGTGCTTACCTTATTTCCATAGTTGAATGTATATGTACATGTTTATCACTGTCCCATGGGTTAGTTTTCTTACCAACCATTTCGAGTCCTATGATCTCAGTTCTGCTAAAATAACTTGTCATTCATTGATAAGTTCATAGGAGATTTAGTGGACATTTCCCTGGGCATCTTTGGTAGGTGTCAGCTTGGCTGGAGAGAGCGTAGGAACATTGTGGATTATCGAGCTCATTTGTTTTTCTTTTCTTTTTTTTTAATGAAACAAAAGAGGCTCAGATCCATTGCCCTCCAGCTGAGGACATCTCTCATTCTGCAAGTTTGGACTTTTATCTTATTTTGTTTGAGCATAAAACTATGAAGAATTGGATATCATAGTAAACTAAATCTAATGGAAAAATTCCTAGGTCTAATTAATGAAAGTAAGAATTATTATGAAAGGGGATGCAGTACTTAAACCCCAAAGAAAAAGTACTATTTAAAAAAGTAAAAGTGAATTCATCTTTTGAACAAAACTGATGAATTCTTTCTAAAACTTTGAAAGGCACATTTCACTCATTCGGAGTACACATTAAGTTTTCATCAGGCCGTAAACAAGTTGCTTGACATTCTGCAGGCCACACCAACACTTCAGAGTCTCCCGCCCACTGGGTTGCTGTGAGGACAGAACGTCAGAGCCAGAGTTGGAGCAGAACGGTGCTCGTCTGGGGGCTGCTGCTCGAGCCGATTGATAGGTGGAAGCAAACTTTTCTCCAGAAAGTATGAGATACTATAGAAAACAAATCCAGTCTTGCAGAAGAGTAGAGTTATAGGAGTAGATTTAATTTAACCTGTTTAACTAGCCAGGGATTGAGAGTTACAAGATGGCCGAGTGCAGCCCCTTCAGAGTCTGAGTGTCTGATTTTACTGTGCGTTTCCTTAATAGAAGCCTCGATAGTCCATATATTGCGGAGCCTGCCATTGTAATTTGCCCCAGGATAAGTCACTACATTAATCACAGTCCTGTTGCTCATTTGTTGCACCTTTAAGAAATCTTTGCTTAGGAAAGAACTTCAGATGCTTTGTAATATTTCCAGGTTGAGTTAATAGCTGTAGACAGGCTACCTTTAAACATTTCAGTGATTAAATAAAATGCTAGAAGTATGACTCAAAATATAGCTGGTTTTCTTTTCTCATGTGTAATAAAAGTATCAGACCCAGTTAACCTAGAATGTCTTTTTTAACCTTTCTTTGGTCAGACTGTTCACATTAAACATATTAAAAAGGTTTTTAATTGAAAATTTTACACTTGAAATGACTTTGCATCGTAGAGACCACATACAAATGTTTTTAGACAGTGAAAAGTACGTATAAACCAGCTGCCCAGCCCCACGCCCTTCCCTAAGCGGGGACAGGAGGGCGACGCTGCAGGGGGAGTATTCCCGGCGTCAAATGCAACTCCTCCCTCCTCCCCTCCCTTCCTGCCCACTGCCCCCTGTGCCATGTGCTGCAGTCTAGTTTAGGATGAGGGTACAGGTCAGCGCTGCAGTCAGACTTTCTAAGGACGCAGTCACCCCCAGCCAGGGGGAAGTGTGTTTCTGAATTCCTTCCATTTCGAGATCACTTCTTAGCCAAGTCTGTGTGACTGGAGAGTGCAGGGTGAACGGGGGAGGGAGATGACATGGCTTTGCGGCTGTGCCTGGAGCATGCCCTCATGTGTCCCCTCCACGAGGGCACCTAAGCCCCATCTTCCATTTTTCAGGCAAAGCCCTGAGCTCCCAAGCCAACTCTTGTGTAACTAGCTTTTCTAGGCTGGGGTTCAAAATAAGTGTAAAGAAGCCAAGGCACTTGGATCTAGATAGTAGGGAAGTAAGTTTCATCCTAAAACGTTGCGACTATGAAGGGCCACCCCATGAAGCTGTTTCAGACTGTGTCTCTGACTGAATTCTCTATGTCTTTGTGCAGACCTAGTTGCCAGGTGGTGTTTGTCTCAGTAGACACTGGCAGACTCCAGCTTTACCTTCTGGAGGGGAATCTGACACACGGGCCTGTAAACATTGCAAGGATTGGCCCGGGGCTGCTCTGCCAAGGCTGGCTCATGGCTTGATGGCGATGCTTCTCTTCCTCCGCCCCACATAGACTTGGTCACCTGGAGGAAGATGAGACCTGAGTTTGGGCAGTCACGGCAGCAGTGGCTACTGCAAAGATGATTGCGAAAATTAAATCTAGCTTATTCAAAATGTTTGCCCCCCATCACGGTTTCCTTTTCCTTCCTTTCTCCCTGGGTGGTTATGTGAATTGTGCTCTTGGCGGTGTCTGCCGTGGCATTTGTCTGACTCGGTTTGCCCTGGAGCAGGCCCCCCTCTATTGGGCTCCAGCCACCTGCTCTCAGTGGGAGCCTCCAGTGTCGCTCGCTTACCTTTGTCTCCCTTTTCCCCCTTGTGCCCCCGAGAGGCAGGCGGTCCAGGAGGTCCTCGCGGTCCAGTGGGGCCCCTGTCACCTAGGAGGACAGGTGGGACACGAGAGTAATGAGTAATGGGGCACCGAGGGGGTGGCACCAGCCAGGGTTTCCCTGCCTCCCTTACCTTTAGGTCCGGGGTTGCCCACGTCTCCCTTCTGCCCCGGCGGGCCCGGAATGGCCCCGTATGCTGCAAGGGCAAAAAACCTGCTCTTAGACTAGAGGTTGCCTGACACCTGGGCGGGAACGTGACTTGTTCAGGGTAACCAGATGTGCAGTGCTGGAGTTTGCCCTTGCAAAGGGAAACAGTGTTGGGGCTTTATCTGATCCGCGGCCTCTGGGGTGTTTATGTAGAGGCTTTCCCCGAGCAGCTGTCTGCCCTGCAGCCCCCTGACAGGCTGCCCCGGTTCGGTGCCGGGCAAATAACGGGGCCCTTACTTCGGAAGAAGTCCATGAGGTCCTCGGTTATGTTGCTGTAGGCAGAGAAGACCTTGCTGATGCCGGGGGGCCCTTGGGGCCCAGGCTGGCCAGGTGGGCCCTGGACCGTGTACGCCATCCCTTGTAGCAGGCCTTGACCTGCAAAACACCAGAGTGGCTCAGGCAGCAGGAGTGGGCAGCACATGACTCCCAGAGCAGGCGGACTAGAGGAGGCTGCCCCAGGGGCCGGTCCTGCCTGCACACCCGCCGGTTCCTGTGGGGTGGCGCAGGCCTGTGGGAGCATGCTGGTCAGCTAGGGAGAGGGACCTTGGCTGACAACCTGCCAAGCCCCAGCAGAGACCTGTGTGACCCTCGCCACTCTTCTGAGACCCAGAGCGAGTTAGTGCTGGGGAGCAGGATGCCAGGACACCAGCATGCTCTGCTCCCCGCCGCTGCTCAGTGTGCACTGAGCGGCAGCCAAGGTGGGGCCTCCTGTCCCAGTCCCTGCCACCGACTCCTGGCCTGCTGCCCTCCCGGCTGGTCTCCCCTGGTCTACTCACGCTGTAAGCTCTCCGACACCCGCAGAGCCAGCTCGCCATAGTCCAGGTCTCCATCGAAGCCAGCACGGAGTGCACCCCCATGGCCTCCGTACTCATCCCCTTCTGCTGCCGTCCCATAGCCTGCACCAGGGCCAACGTCGGTGCCGTAGGGGCCCCCGTCTCCTGCCCCAAAGGTGCCACCTGCCAGGGAGCCTCCGTTGGCCCCTCCGGCGCCCACTGCAGAGCTGTAGGAGGAGCCCCGTCTGACGGAAGAGCCGCTACTCCAACTGTAGGAGCCGTCTCGCGACACCAGGCGACTGTCTCCAGGGGGGCCCTGTGGCCCTGGGGGTCCTGGGGGGCCCACGATGAAGCTGCGCACATCAGGACCTGTTGGGGGAGGAGGCTCAGACCTTGGTGGACAGAAGCCAGGAGCCATGGTCTCTCCTAAGGAGGGTCTCAGAGCTCCTTAGCAATGGGAAGTGGATGCTGGTGGGAAAGAGCCCGGGCTTCTCCCACTGATGTCTTCCAGGGTTCTCCAAGGATTCTTGTGTTGAGCACTAGTCCCCTGGACTCTAGGGACACTTACAGGGACGGTTAAGGTCTGAGGAGGGGACCAGGCCAACATCAGCACGGGGCACCTACTCGTGAGGTAGCTGATCAGCTCACTCCGGAAGTTGTCATTGTTCTCAGCTGCATAAGTTGCCAGAGCTGAGGAGACACCGGGGGGCCCTCGAGGACCTGGGGGCCCGGGAGGGCCTGGTGGGCCTGGGATGGATGACAAGCCAGCAGCTGAGGAGAGAAGAAAGGTCAGGTGTGACGTAGTCTAATGTGGAAAGGGGTGGTGATGTGGCTGAGCTTCCTTGAAAGAGGGAGCAGCAGGAGGCTGGGGCAGCCCCTGGCTTGGCATCGTCTCTGGGTGGCTGCTCCTCATCGCTTTCCCACCCCCAACTCTGAGCCTCTTTCAACTGGGCTCCCCCCAGCTCATCTCCGCTGGTGTTGGAGCCCTGGTCGGCCCCAGTCACAGGTGGACTCAGGAGCTCTCCAAGGGCTGTGGTTGGGTGCTGTCTCTCAGGCCCTCCTGCCAGGGCTGGGCACCTCCCTGCTCTGCATGTGCCCAGGTGGACCCAGTGCTGGATGAGTCAACCGGTGGCCACCCTTGCTACCCTGGGCCTCACCCGTCCCTGGTGACCTACTATGCAGGTAAGAGGAGAGGTCCTCCATGCTGATGCTGGACCATGTGCTGCCTGGGGTCCCGGGGGGCCCTGGAGGCCCCGGGGGGCCGATGATGCCTCTGTATTCAGACCCTGAGACACCAGAGCGAGCAGGGGTCAGCCAGAGCCTGGGCCAGTGCTCCCCTTCCCTTCCCACACTCCCTGGACACGCCCTTACCTCGGAGCAAGGCCAGCAGCTCCTCATAAGATGTCCCCGGCAGGCCAGGGGGGCCTGGCGGGCCAGGAAGCCCAATGCTGATGCCAGTACCTGGGGACAGAGTCCCAAGTCGTGATGGGTTAAGATCAGGCGGGGGCGGGCGGATGCAAATGCCCCGTGAGAGAAGAGGTGGAGGACACAGAGGGACCTGCACGAAACGCAGAGCCAGAACAGGAAAGGGGTGACAGAGTGGAGTGGGGCAGAGATTCAGTCCTGGGCAGTGGCCCCAAGGAAGGGACACGAGAGGAAGCTGTGCAGGTCACAGCTGTCCACAGGAGTCCTCAGTGCGCGTGCTCTGAAAGCCCCGCACCGACAGTGCCCGGGATGCCTATTGGCTTCCCCTGCTGGGCCTACCCACTCCCTCTGTGGAGTTTGTTGCTGCCCAGCGGCAGGGGTGGGCGGAGCCACTGCACAGGGGCAGCAGGACACCGGACACTCACTAGACATGTAGCTGAGGACGTGTTTGCTCAGCTCTGAGTAGTTCAAAGAGGACAGGAGGATCCCATCACCGCTGGCTCCGGGGGGCCCTGGAGGACCCTGAGGGCCCCTCAGGTACTGCCGCAGATACTGGAGCACATCTTCCCCTGAAAGGGAAAGGAGTGCTAACGTGGAGCTGTCGCACACTCCATCGGCCACAGCCCGTCCCCTCCACTGCCGGGCTCTCCAGTGGCCGTTGTACATTCTGGGCTCTCCAGCCTACATGGTCAGGGGCTCGGCCGGCTTCCAGCTCCCCGCAGATGTCTGCCTGCCTGGCATCAGGGCAGAGGGCGGATTTCCCACCCCTTTCCAGTCCCTTTGGCACTTGGCAAGCGCGGAGCAATAAGCCAGTGGCCCCTTGTCCTGAAGGACTCCCTGCCCGTTCACCACCAGCCAGAAGGAGCCCAGACAGGCGACTCACGCTGCAGCAGGGTCAGGATGTCCTGAGAGGAGATGGAGGCTGCGGACATGCCAACACTGTAGCCCGAAGCTGTGGGAAGGAGACCTCAGTGACCGCGGGGCCGCGGCAGGCCCTCCCAGGTCCACTAGGCACTCCCTCTGGGGAGAGCGGAGGAATCGAGGGCCAAAGGGTGATGCGGTTGCAGCTTTGTTGATAAGAGAGGCAGGTTTGTTTTCCAGAGTACGCTCTGCACTGACTCTTACTGCATCCTGCCAGCCCGGAGATTCAGACAGGAAGTCAGGGGCGCCCGGGGAGAATGCCCAGAGTTGGGGCTCCTGCGTGGTCTCCTTGCTCCAGCTGAGCCAGCCCTGGTGGCAGCGAGCTGGGAGACGAGGCTCCCAGGGAGGAGGGCCGTGTGTGCCGGGCGGGGACAGACTTACCCTGCAAGTAGCTCACAACGTGCCTGGCCAGCTCTGAGTATTGAAAAGTCTGGCCTGAGATGGTGGTGACGGGCCCTGGGGGACCAGGAGGGCCTGGGGGACCCTGAGCTCCAGACAGGTAGGCCCTGATGCTGTCACCTGCCAAGAGTGATGAAGGAGTCAGGGCTGGCCACAGGAGCCCTTCCTCCCCGCCGGGGCAAAGGTGAGGTGCCTGCCCCACCCACGTGGGCCCAAGGCAGGGCTGGCAGGAGCCTGGATGCCCTCCTTACTGATGGAGAAACCGAGGCAGGGGCCTGTGTTGGTCAGGTGGTCTGCGGGCCACCTACCAACAGGACTCCAGGCAGCCTCTCACTGACGGAGGGCCCAAGCAGAGCGGGGCTGAGTGTGCACGCGTGAGGGTGAGCCTGTGTGCACACGCAGCCACCCAGCGGAAGCTCTCTGACCCACAGGCCGGGCTGCAGGGCTGCTCCCCCAGCACACGTGCGGGCGCGCGCGCGCACGCACGCATGCGCACGCACACACACACACACACACACACACACACACACACACACACACACATATGGTGGCTGGCCACTCACTTTGCATGTACTCAGAGATGTACTGCTGGATCTCCAGGCTGGAGCTCCTGAGGGAGCCCGGAGGCCCTGGAGGCCCTGGTGGGCCGGGTGGGCCTGATGTGTACACGGTGCTGGAGGAGCCCCCTGTAGGAAGAGAAGGCGGCCTCGCTTGATTTCTCTGCCCTAGGCCAGACCCAGGGAGTGCACCCCTGGCAGAGGAAGGAGGGCTTCCTCAGAGGGGAACTAGAACAGCAGCAAGAGAAAGGCCAGATGAGTGGTAGACCCAGGCCACACCCCCAGCTCACTGTTCTCAGACCCCCGGCCGCTCTGTTCTGCGGGTCATCTGAGATGGGCCGCCCCCAGCCCTCCACCCCCTAAGGCAGCTCAGAGGTCCCAGCCAAGGGCAGGGTGTGATGGACACTGAACCACAGATGAGCGAGTGAACTAATTTCTATGTCTTCAGGCAATGATCAGCCTCTCATGAAGGCAAGAGGAGGAACTTTGTCTGCCTTTGTCTCTTACCTCGAGAGGGACCACCGGGAATACCAGGGTCACCTGCAATCCAAGCAGAGAAGCCCGTTTGTGTCTGAGCAGCCCTTCCTGCCAAAGCCCAACACACCGATTGCAGCTCAGTGACCACCCAGTGTCTCCTAGTCTTGTTTTTGCAATGACACCGTGAGCTGCTTTTGGGCAGAGACCATCTCGCATGCCTGCCCTCTCTCTTCCTTCCTCCTGCCTTTTCTCTCTCCTAAGCCTTGAGCACCGGCGCACTTGGACCTTCCATTCAAGGTGAGTCTCGGGGGCCAGGGCTGCCTCCTCACTGACCTTTGTCACCTTTGGGTCCCTGTGGACCGGGTGGGCCTGGTGGTCCCTGCAGGTTGAATCCAAGAGAGCTGGCATCTGGAAGCCAAAGACACACACCGTGCCATCAGCCAGGGTGCAGAGCAGCTCTGGCCCCAGCTGGGTTGGGTGGCGGCTCAGCACTTACCTGAGGCCAGGAGCCCAGGGAGGCCTTGCTCGCCTGAGGGACACACCGGGGAAGGAGGGTCAGTCTCACGTTCCTCCCCATCCACCCACCTGCTCCCATTGGGTTCTCCAGAAACTGCCCAGCCCATGCAGGCCCTCGGTCAGTGCCAGCCACACACCCATCTGTGCTGCAGACACGCACAGAAAACAGTACTCTGCCCTTCAGAGAACACTCTGGCCTGCCAGATGCACTTCTGCTCCGCTTAGAGCCCTAGGGAGCCAGCTCTTGCCACCCCACCCCAGCCCAGGTTGTGTGCAATGCCTGCTGTACTGTACCTTGGTGTCCTCGGGGTCCTGGGGGACCTGTGGGAAGGAGGCAGAAAGCTGAGGCACCTGCCAGCCAGGCACTGTGGCTCCAGGGGGCCCGTGGAGGGGGACATGGAAACTGGAGCTCTGTGCCTCTCCTCCCACCAGGTCGCTGAGGGGCAAGGGTTCTTTGCAGTTTCAGACTACCTGCCTGTCCCCTTCCCGCCCCACGCTGCAGGCTGAGGGACAAGAGGACAAGAAAAGCCTCTGCTCAGCCAGCCTCATCCGGACTCCCTTGGCCACCAGGGATGCGGAGGGACACTTTGGCTGTGGGCTCTGAGACTGTTCTCACCTTGGTCTCCCTTGGGGCCTGGGGGGCCGGGTGGGCCTGGGCGGCCAGAGAAGAAGGTTTCTGCAGAGGAAGATAATAGCGCGAGGTAGCAGGTGGTGTTACTGGGGCAGCAGCACCTACAGGCACAGTGCCTAACACGCTGCAGACGTTAAGTCAGCGCCTGTCAGATGGACGGTGGATGCCTGGATGTGTGCGTGGTTGAGAGACTGGGCATAAAATGAGTGGAAGAGTGGATGTGAAGATGGACGGCTGGATGGATGGAGCGGGGGGAGGGAGGGGCGCGAGGTAGCAGGTGGTGTTACTGGGGCAGCAGCACCTACAGGCACAGTGCCTAACACGCTGCAGACGTTAAGTCAGCGCCTGTCAGATGGACGGTGGATGCCTGGATGTGTGCGTGGTTGAGAGACTGGGCATAAAATGAGTGGAAGAGTGGATGTGAAGATGGACGGCTGGATGGATGGAGCGGGGGGAGGGAGGGGGGAGGGAGATGGATCTTCCATAGGCGATGTGTTCTGGCCCAATGTTTGCTCTGAAGTTATTTCCATAAGTTTCTGTATTCTGCCTGTGTCCTGCCTACTTTGTCAGGTCTGGACTCCCCAAAGATAGGAATCAGCCTCCCCAGCCACTCCAGAAGCTCCCCAAGGGCCAAGCTGCCAGTGTGGTCGGGTTGGGATGGTTCATCTCCCAACACACAGCCACAGGCCCAGTGGTCAGAGGAAAAATGGAGTCACTGGAGAAGCCTGGGCTGGGGCAAAGTGACTCAGATCCACAGTGTTACCTGAGTCCGTCAGGAGAGATCCTGGTAGGCCTGGTGGGCCTGGCAAGCCTTCCCCTGGACAAGAGGAGTCCCAAAACACATCAGTGCCAAGCGGTGGCCAGGAGCCCTCTGCCCCGAGGAGCAGGGATGCTCTTCCCGCAGTGCCTGCGGGTCCGCTCGCCCCCACCTCCCTTCTCCAGCAGGAGCTCTGCCTCACCTGGGGGGCCTCGGGGTCCCGGTGGGCCTGGGATGGACGGCCCTACAGGAGAGAGTGGGCAAGAGGACATGCTGAGTCCAGCTGTTGACGCTCCCAAAGTCAGGATACGGGCTTTGCCCTCAGTGCCCCACCCACTGGCAGCCCCCAGATGCTCACCTGGTGGTCCACGTGGCCCAGGTGGGCCTGGGGGACCTCGGAAATCAGCACCTTCTGTGGGGAGAAGCACATGGAATGAGCACGGGTTCTGGGTGCTGCTCTCTGCCAAGCCCCTTAGTGCTCACGCCCACCACCAGTCTCTGCACCCTGGATGCCCCCAGGCCCAAGTCTGTGGCTGAGGGTGCCTGGCTGAGGCGGGGTGGGCAGCAGTCAAATTCGGGCCTCGGTGACAGCTGGAGTTTAAATCCCTGCTCTTGCAAGTGTCCTCCTCTGTGAGCCGGGGTCAGTGGAACCCACACCCAGGGTGCCGTGAAGTCTCGGGGATGCCACTGGAGTGGAGCCCCTAACAACACCAGCACCTGCTCGCTCAGCATCCAGGGGTCCTGGTGCAGGCCCTGCTGCAGCTCCGCTTGGGCTTTTTTTCCTGTCACACTGGGGATTGAGTCCAGGATTTTATGCTTTCTAAGAAAATCTCCCAGCACTGAGCGGAACCTCTACCCCTTTTGTTTGTTTTGGTTTTTTGAGACGGGGTCTGCTGTGTAGCCCAGGCTGGCCTCAAACTAAGTGATTCTTTTGCCTCAGCCTCCAAGTGCTGGGATTATAGGCGTGCCTCACCACGCCCAGCCAGCCCTTTCTGTTTTTGAGACAAGGTCTCACTAAGTTGCCCAGGCTGGCTTTGAACTTGCAATCCTCTGCCTCCCAAGTAGCTGGTGTTACCGGCCTGTGCCACCAGACCCAGCCCACCTGGGCTCTCGAAGGGCTCTGTGGACAGGAGGGTGCAGGAGTCAGCTCTTGTGGCCCAGGCCCTTGCCCTTTTCCAGGGGGAGGTGCCCTGTTCTTGCCAGCGTAGCCCAGGACCTGGTCTGACCCTGGTCTTCCTGGGGTCCCAGAGCCTGCCTGACAGCTGTCCCATCTCCTGGCTCTGACCTTCCCATGCCAGACAAGTCCTGCTGTTCTCAGCTGTCACTGTTGCATGGGAACTGGTCACCCTCACATAGAGCCCTCGAGATGACTCACGGCTGCAGCTACCAGACAGCCACAGTGCCCTCATTGTCACCTGCTGTAGAGAATGGTGGCACTTACGGGAGGAGATCAGCTCGGAGATGGAGGTGCCAGTGCCCAGGGACAATTCACTAGCGAGTCCGGGTTCCCCTCTCGGGCCTGTGGGGAGGACAGAGTTAGGGTGAACAGTGCCTGCAGCAATCTATTTCTCTTTCCCTCAGGAAAGGCCAGGTGCTGGGTGGAACCCAGAGAGGGAGGGTGGGGCCTTGGCAGCGGGCACACATTCTGTAGCCAAAACTCCACCCCTTTTCCTAAAAGCTGACTGTTTTCTGATATTTGGATAAAACTGTGATTATCAGGGTCTGGTCACAGGAGGCCTGAGGCCTATGAAAATAACTGAGTTCAGTCCCGACCAAGAGTCCTTGTTGTCCTAGGACCTGACCCTCCCAGAAATATGGAGCAGGGCAAGAGGAGGAAGCCCCCTCTCCACCCTTCCTGAAACACACGTCTGTGCTTTGAGCTAAAGCATGGGCCCAAGCCTGCTTAGGACGGTCCCCTGACCGGGCCCAGAGCCCGTGTGCTGTCAGGGTGTCACATGACATACCTTGCTGTCCCGGGAGACCAGCAGGGCCGGCAGGACCTGGAAGTGGCATTGGGGAAGAAAGGCTAAGTCACAATCTGGGGTCACAAGCAGAGCTGAGGAAGGCAGCGCAGGGCACGCGCGGGCACCTCCCAAGATGAGGAGTCAGCGTGCTCAGTGGAGAGCAGCGAGCAGTTTGAGAACCTCGGTCTGGCAGGTGGACCCCACGGCGGCAGGCTGTCCTGTCTATACTGTCCCGCACTGGTTAGCAACTTCCACGAGCCCCGGCAGGCTCCCTCTCACTGGAGTTTGCCAGGGAGGAAAGCGAGTAGGTATTTGGGTTGACTGTGTTAAGTTATATACTCCATAAATATTTAATTAATGAATTATTTTTGGTGCTGAGGATCAAACCAAGGGCCCCACACATGCTAAAGCCTATCGCTGAGCTACATCCCCAGACCTTCAAAACACATACACAAAATGATAGGCATTTTGGAAAAGGAAGGGGAAAAATCCTAATTCTTTAACTTCTGAGCATTTTGTGTTTGTTTCCTTCCACCATCTTTTTTTTTTTTTTTTTTTTTTTTTTTTCATCTCATAAAAATATAGCCGCAAGCCTAGAGCACACATCCTTCAGGTCTTGCTCTCTTAACTACAACTACTGCCTCCCTTTCTGGTCTTCATATTTTGGTAACCATCCCATGGGGCTGGATGATGCGGGGATGTGTTTCCCTGGTAGACTAGCATTTGGGCTCAAAGGTCCAGTGCTCTGATAGGTCTCAAGCCCTAGATGCCAAATGGTCTGGATCGAATCCTTCGTCTGCTGCTTATTGGCCATGTGACTTTAGTCAAATCACTTATCCTCTTGAGAGTCAGCTTTCCCTCCTCTCCTGGGTAACAGAAATCCTTTCCTGGAAACAGAGCTTGCTTTCTCAGGCCCCTCTTGCTCTCTTTCCTAGGTTCCTGCCCATGGTTTCAGGATTTGACCAAACATGGCTAGAGTCAAATGCACCCTCAGCCTCCTGCTCATTGGGGTAAAGTAAGAAAACAGACTGACCTGGGGAGCCTGGAGGTCCTGGAGGCCCCATGACACCAGGAGGCCCTGGAGGTCCTGGGACAGTGACCATAGATGAGCCCTCTGAAAACAGAAAGCACATGAAACATTGAGCCCAGCCTTAGCTCTGAAGTACTGGTGTCCCTAGCAGGGCAGACTGATGTCTTGGCTTCTCATTACCTGAGTTTCCCCCTTCCCAGCTGCAGACCCAAAGAGCTGACCATGATAGCCTGTACCTAGCACTGTGCCTGCTGACTGGTGCTTCTTGGGAAACATCATGGTGGAATTAGGGCAGTGCTTTAAGCCAAGCTTGATGGAAGAGTCTAGTGAGAGCTCAGAAAACCAGCGTGATGATAGAAATGTAGGCAGTAAAGGCCCGCTCAGGAGGTTTCAGCTGAAAACAAGACTCCATTGGCAGTTAGATTAGAGGACATGTATTATACTCTGGCAGAAGATGTATCTATGTTCTGCCCAAGTTCTGAGATTTTGTCAGAGACTGAGATTAAGAACAACCAACTAATTAATCGGGCAGAGAAAATTCCAAGGCAGCCCAACATTCATGCTGTGGTATGGGTACTACTTGATCCTTTTGAGCCTGATTTATAGTGAGAATTAGGAGCAAATGGCAGATTGAAATGCATAAAGTTTGTAGTTTCTGCAAAGAGAAAGTGCCTGACAAATTGTACGTTTGAGTATGTAGTTGCAAAAAAGATTAACATTAAAAAGAAGCCAAAAGCTGGGCACAATAACACACACCTATAATCCCAACACTCAAGAGGTTGAGGCAGGAGAATTGCCACAAGTTCAAGGCCAGCCTGGACTACACAAAGTGAATTCAAGGACAGCCTGAACAATACAGTGATGTTATGAAATTTTGTCTCAAACAAACAAAAAATGAGCCAAGTACTTTGCATCAGGACAATAAGAAAGATAATTTAAAGGCATTTTAGGAGTCCCAGGACCTCACCCACCATGGGTTCAAGGCTACAAAACTGCAAAGCATTCATTTGAAAAGAGACCCCCAAGAACCCTGCTCAAGGAAGGCCACTTAGGCAGTCGGTGCATGTGAGAGGTAAGGACACCACAAGGAGCATTGCTCCCTGACCTACATACCTGAAGTCATGATCCTGCCTGGGGTGCCTGGTTCACCTGGTGGGGGGCAATGAAGAGGAGAGGTCAGGGGGGATCAATTAGTGCTCGATACATCATTGTTGAGGCTTCTGATTGATTGTCTACAAGGTCCACCTGTGGCTCTTGCCCTCAATCTAAAGGCTTTTAAATGAAGTTAGGGGGCCTTCAGGATACACTGCACACATCTCCCTGCCTGTCTCGGACCCTGCAGGCTAAGCAGCAGTCCACACATAGAGAGGGGCTTCTGGGGAGGATGGGGGAAGTGACGCCGAAGGAGGCTGACCTGAGTCAGTCCTAGCTCCCTTCCCATCCTCACTTCTGGGAGTCACCTTAGGTGGGAAATTATCTGGAGGACAAAGGACACAGGCCATGGGCCCAGGAGGGGAACTGGGGGTCTCAGCATGTGCCCCAGAACTCTCCTTCCCTGGGATGATAGGAAGAGGAGCATGGGGTTGGTATCTGGGAAATCCTGAGGTGCAGAAAGCCACGGCTCTTTCCTGCCACTCTCTCTGAGTGTTGAAAATGCAAAGGTTGGTGAAGGACCTCCAAGAAGGAAAGCAGGATTTCACGAGTCATAGGCTCCTTAGCTGGGGATTCTCTTTTCCAGTTTCAAAGCTTTGTGAGCAGAGCAAAGGGGCCAGAGTGTGGTCTCTGCTCACTTTTCCCCAGCCAGGGATCAAGGGCAAACAGAAGCAACCACTGAGTGAGTTTTGTTGGAGCAAAAGTCCAACATGAGGTAAGACATCTCCTTCTGTCCACCTAACCCTGGGGGGGTCTGAAGCCCCATGGACAGGAAGAACAGGGTTTCTGTGAACTCAAACCTGGAAGACTTATTGAGCTCAGTGGTCATCATTTTAGGGTCACATTTATTTATCCCTCCAAACTACTTGGCCAAAGCCATCATTGGGAATATAGTTCTTGGGAGGGTTCATTCTAGGGCCCCATAGAAGGTAACAGTGACTGATTGCAATGGCCCAGCTCCAACCATTGGCGTGCAGGAGTTGGGGTCACAGGGACACAGGGAGCCGGATGCTGAGGACTGTGTACCCCTGGGCTTGCTCAGGGTAGAGTGGGAGCGGGTGCCACTGAACATATAAGGGTCACTGCACTGCCCCAGTCCAGGCCCCGAGGAGCATATCCCACCTTGGTCCTTTGACTCTGCCTTCTGCCCACACAGAGCCACTTCTCAGGAGTACCAGGTGTCCCCAGTCACACCAAGGCCCATGTGTGGCTCCTGTCATGTGAGTGAGGCCCTGCCTAAGGGGATGTGAAGGCAGGGGGCAGCAGCACCCTTCCTGGCCTGCGGCCACCACGGCCTGGAGCTGACAGCAGGGCCCAGCTTTGGGGGTGAGGACCCAGGCACCTTGTTCAGCAAAGATTGGGGCTCCACCTCTCAGCCTTCTGCTGGAGCCACTAGGTGCCACTGTTGGTCCAGGCTTTGGCTAGAGAGGCCCCCAACTCCTGCCAATCCCCTCTCCCACCAACCCCTCCCTCCTGCGAAAATGGCCTGTGTGAAGAAAGGGAATCTTGTTTGGAAAATCACTTACCTCTATTCCCTTGTCGGCCAGGGGACCCAGGAAGTCCTGATGTGATTAAAAACAGGTCGGTTCGTTGGTCAATGTAACTGGGACCCAGCCGTCCCAGGCACCCCGGGCAGTAGCTAGCTCTGTCACCCAGCACAGCCGAGCCAGCCTGGCCTTCAGCTTTAGTCCAGGCAGCCCTGAGCTCTGTCCTTCTGTGGCAAACAGGGCAACCCCGGGTCTTGCAGTTGGCAGAGGCCCTGGGCTCAGCTGGGCGGGACTCCAGCCCCTCTGCCTGTGCAGGGCTGGGGCTGGGCCTTCCCTGGGGAATCTAAAGGATGTCACTTTATGTTCTGTCCCTGGGGCCCTTAAGTCTGCCTGATTTCCTTTAGGAAATGAGGGGCCAAGTGAGTGATGATTTCTCAAACCCAAAAGAGCTTGCCCCAGAGAAACTGAGTCCCCTGAATGAGGGGGTGCCCGCTGCCTTGTGCCAGCAGGTCGTGGGCCCCTGTGGGTATTCAGAACTCCTAGCCAGCAGAAACTCCTCAGCAGGAGTCTAGGGCCTCCTCCCAGGCCTTCCTGCACAGGAAGTCAGAGTCAGCACACAATTTAACTTCAGCTGTCCTTCCTAAGGTGCCCGAGGAGGCCCTGAGCCCATGTTTTCTGGGGGCTGAGAGAAAGGCAGTGGCACTCCTGGAGGTGAAGTACTGACCAGGGCCCTGTCTAGGAGGGTGTGGGAGGGACCCATGACTCACCCTGAGGTCCTGGGGGTCCCGTGAGACCTGCAGAAAATAAGACACAAGAGGCAAGAGCATCAGGGCTGAGAGCAGGCCAGAGGACCTATGCCCTGACCCTGCGGGGGTGGAGGCAGTCCAGGCTCCTCCCAGCACTGGGCAGAGCCAGTCTTGGACTTTGTCGTGAAGTGACCCTCTGTGCCACTGGGTGCTGGGTCTGGGCCTGTTTGGGCTCACAGACTCCTTGGAATTTGAGGTGAGCCAGGAACCCCAAACATAGCCAGGCACATGAGAGTACACTTGTGCGTGCACATGCACACATAGCACCCCCCATGTGCACACCCTGGGGGGCATCTCCCTGCCCTGTTACCTGGCTTTCCTGGATCTCCAGAAAGTCCCGGAGGGCCTCGGGCTCCAGGCATACCTGTCAGGCCCTGTTCACCTGGGAAGAGCATTAGCCATTGAGGGTGTTTCCCTGAGGAGGGTCACGTGCCCGCACCTCCAGGCTCATGGCTTCCCCAGGTTTGCTAACTGACTTGCTGGCAGGTGAGGAGGAGGAGGAGGAGGAGGAGGAAGGAGAGGACAGCAAGAACCAGACCACCCATTTCCCCAGGCTCCGTGCCACTCTGGCATCGTGGTGGGGACTGGAGCGAAGCCAGGGACATGGGCAGGGCAGGGAGTGGTGGCAGGGGCAGGTAGTAAGAGTGAAGACAAACCTCTTAGACCTTGCTGTCCGTCAGGGCCAGCGGGGCCTGGTAAAGGAGAAAAGTGAAGCCCGTCTGTTATTCTGGGGCCATTTCTGTGACCCTCCCCCTGTGCTGCCCCAGGAGCCTCAGAGCACACAGTGTCCCAGGCAGGAGCCCTCGCAGCTCTTCCTGTGGCCATCAGCTGGAGAGAAGCCCTGCCTTGGTCGCACCCTGGCTATGGCCTTCTCTCTCCCCCTTCCCCTAGGCCAGCAGTTGTCTCCTTTCTGCTGAATGTCACGGCCAAGGGCCTGGATGCTCCTAAGTGTTCGCTTCACGTACTTAGGTCCTGGAAGTCAAAGTTCCCCCATGTTCCTCTCTTCTCCTTCTCTAGGTGCCCTCCTGGTCTCTGTCCAAAATGGTGTCCTTCTGGGACTGTGTCTTGCTCTTCCTGTCTTTACTCGCATTGTCCTTGCTGCATGGGGAGTTTTCCAATCGGGGTATGTATGAAATCTTCCTCTTTCTAGGACTATCCTTCCTTCCGGTAGGAACTTTCTCTCTCAACTATATCTCCGTGGCATTTGGTACCTGTCACCACCTGTCACCTCTCACAGGCTTCATTTCCCCTTGCAGAGGAGAAGTGTCTTATCTGCTGGTTGTCTTATTTGTCCTGTGTACAGGTGGTTCTTATGAACAGTTGGCTAAATAAGTGATCCTAAAGGTGCCTCCTCTCCACTGTGGGGCTTACGTCCTTCTGGGACCCTGTGGGGCCTGATCCTTGGAAAGTTCTGGGGTTAGCTCTCACAGTCCCCTGACAGGTCCCTTCGCCTGGCCCTGGCCCTGGCCCTGGGATTCTGAAGGACCTCTCCCCTCACCTGTCCTCTGCTTCTAGGCAGGAGCTGGGTGGGTGGCTGTGCCCTGCCCAGGCTGTTTGGGAGCAGTGAGACTCCACAGAGGGAGGCTCAGCTGAAGCGGCCCGGAAAGTGGGACTTGACTGCAGCGAGCAGGACAGGGAGCAGGGGAGGGAGCCCCAAAGGATCCCCGCAGGGCCACGTGGCCATCGCCCTCACAGCGCAGACCCCACAGCAGCCGCCCTTGGGAACACTCACCCATTGCTCCTTTAGCTCCAGGTTCTCCCACAGCCCCGGGCAAACCTCTTGTGCCAGGCTCGCCTGCAAAGGACAGAGGGCCCGGTCAGCTGTGTGTCTGAGCACGATAGCAAGACCCCACTTGCTCCTGCACCCCGTCATGCCTTCCCACCACTGCTGCTTTTTGACTCCGAGGTCAGGGTGGCTGCCCTTCCCCTCCCCTGGGCTTCTGACCCACGCCAATCCTGATTCACAGGGGCATGTTCAGGAGTCTCATTCCCTGGAAACAGAAAGCCATCCCTTGGGGTCCAGCGTCATCAGGATCGGTTTCCTTTGTAGTCACACCGGGTTGAGTTATGAGCTTAGTGGGTGTCGTGGGACACCCTTTCTGCTACTTTGAGAATTGCTTATTAATTTTCCCAGCTAGATTCCCCAAAAGAATCAGAGACAACTATAAACTCCTCTTTCTGCCCAAACATTTACTGTCTGGACTGTACATTATGGTCCTCGCTTATCTCTTACTCACAGCTTTACTTATCTTTGTGCTTTTTCTAGATAGCAAGTTCCCTGAAGGTTTGTAGCCCAATTCTGTCTCATCCTTCTGTCCCCACCTCCGTGACTGGCAGGGTTACAGATCATGAGTAGATTAAAGGGGACTCCTGTGTCTACTGACCTGTGAGGCCTCGGGGTCCTTTCTCACCCTGGTCACCTAAAATAAACATGGGGCAGGGGCAACCATCAGTGTGAGCGCCTGCAGGGATGCGTGAGCTCTCAGCAGTGCAGTGCTGCCAGGGCACTGGATAAGCGAGGAGCGAGGCTGGTCTCCCAGGTGACCCCAAGCCCTGCTGTTTCCCAAGCAGGTGCCCTGGGTGCAGGAGGACCGAAGCAGAGGGCAGACACCCACAGTGCACCAGCCACCCCCCAGGACCACCCCACGCGGTTATGTGATGGTGGTGTTTGCTTTGCTTTGGCCTCCATTCCCCTATCTGAGGTGCGGCATAAGGAGGACCTCTTGCCTCCCTCTCAGTTGCAGGCTCTGAGAACCAGAGTCCTGGGTGCTCTCAGATCTGAGTACCCGGAGCAAGGCAGACTGTGGTGATAATGAAGCAGTGATGGGAATGGCCTACCTTTGGGTCCTGTAGGTCCTGCAGGCCCTTTGTCACCTGAGAAGGAAACAGACATGTTGGTGTGAAAGCCCTGCGGCGTACTGCGAGGTGGGTCAGCTTCTGTCTCCAAAGACAGCGCCCCCTTGCCCTCACTTCCCCCGCTGGCACTTGATGCACAGGCTGTGGGCTGTGTCTGTCAGCCACTCTGGCTCCCCGGCCTCCTCCTGGGATGCGGAGCATCCACAGGGCGACCTGGCAACCTGCTCTTCCTCCCAGGCCCTCCCCAGCTCACCTTTAACTCCAGGAAGTCCCACTTCACCTCGGATCCCTTGGACGCCCATAGAGCCTGCTCACCGGAGGAAAGCAAACAGGTGAACGCACCTCCCATCCGCACAGGGGCAGGCACACACCACCCCGACGCGCAGCCCGAAGTCAGAGTCAAAGGCTGCTGCGCACGAACTCCTGTGAAACCACTGCAGCCCAGGTTCCTTGTCCCTGCTGATCACTGGCTCTGGCACTGGAACAGCTCACGTGATCCTGGCTGCAGCTCACAGTTCTCAGGGCATCAGACAAGCTCTCTGGCCCCAGGGAATGGGGCAGAGGCAGGCAGTGGCCTAGGTGCAGGTAGGATGTGAACTGCCTATTGCTGGAGCTCTTGGGGGGCCTTGCGCCCCGCACCAGGTCAGGATGGACCTAAACAGGTCTCATCAGGGCTCAGCCACGCATGTGGATTTGAGCTTTGTGTCTCCAGGAGCTCTCTATAATTGCTTCTTTAAAAAGGCTTGGTTTTTCTTTTAACACCCCTCCTTTTTTCTCCCAGAAACAGCATCTATTTTCAAGAAGCAGCACACTGACCTGGGGGTCCTTGGGGGCCAGGAGAGCCATTGGAACCTGGGGAGGAGGAAGAGATGATCAGCAGAGGGTCCGGTACTGGCGGGGTCATGGGACCCCAGGGTGATGGGCAGGTGGGGGTGGAGGACTCACTTCCAGGTGAGGACTGTGTGGGTGTACATTGTTCCCAGAGTGTTCTTGACAGGACCCTGTGTCAGAGGGTCCAGCAGTGACCCCAGTACAATGTCTTCCTTAAGTCTGAGGCTGTGGGACTCTGGGCTAGGACATGGGTGAGGAGGGGAGGTGGCCAGATGGGCATCAATATGAGAAAGGGCCCATTCTCTCGGCTGTCCCAACACGCTGATTTTGATGTGTGCACTGTGGGCCCCAGCAGCAGGGAAGACTGATTCTGATTTCCCTTCTGATTCACCCACCCACCCAGGGATCGCACTGTGAGGCCACTGAAGAGGGGAGGAGACGGGGCCAAAGTTCCAGTCCCCAGCTTGACCCCCAGCAGACCCATAGCCAGACACAATCCGGGACCCCTCTTTTCTGGTCTGTCCTGGATGTGTCCTTCCCTGGCAAGCTGTACCCTGCCCTGAGCCCTGGACATACCTTTGGGACCCACAGAACCTGGGACACCAGGAGGACCCTGCAGTCCTGGTTCGCCAGCAGCTCCTGTGGCAGGAAGGAGCACGGTGAGAAAGCCCCCCATCTGGCTGTCCCTCGGCCAGGGGGTCATATGAAGGGGACACTTCCTGCTCCTCCATGGTTGCGGATCCTCTTGGGACCGCAGAGAAGCCACTAATTAACAAAATTCCACACTTTCTACTCCCAGATCCTTAATCTCCCATGAGGTCTAGAACTTATGAGGCACTCAATAAATCCTGGCTGCCTGGAGGAGCCACATTTTTAAGGGAAAAGTAAAACTAACAACAAAGCTTCCTGCTCAGCCTTTCAGCATTAGAAGATTTTGGGAGCCCACCTTGGTTTCCTGATTAGAAAACGGCTCCATGGTTAAGGATCTCATTGCAAATGTTCCCAGCCCCCTCCAGCACTGGTCTGCACCTGGGGCTCTCCTGTGTCCCTCACTGTGGTGTCCTGCACCCCAGCCCACTTTGCAACAGCTCCTGCTCCCTGCGTTGGCTATGCGCAGATCACCACCCCCGTCTAGGAAGGACATTTCACCGGGACCTCCTTGAGTTACAAGCACTGCAGAGCCCGTCATTGGTCCACTGGCCCCACAGGGCCTAGCACAGAGCCCACCTTGAGGAAAGCACTCAACAAACAGCACTGGAGGAAGGTTGGAGGGAGCCAGGTGGAAGAGGCCAGGATGGGGCTGGGGATGTAGCTCAGTGGTACAGCGCTTGCCTGGCATGTTTGAGGCCCTCAGGTTGATCCCCTGCACCACCGATTTTATGCACACATACACATATTCTATAAAATGTGGAAGGAAGGACCAACACAGCGAGCCCTCCTGGCGAAGGACTCGCCTCTTACCTCTGTCCCCTTTCTCCCCAAATCCAGGAGGCCCTGGTTCTCCGCGAGGTCCCATGGGGCCTTCTCGCCCTCTCTGGCCCATGGGTCCTTCCATGCCGGGATCTCCTAAAGACAGTCACGGCCAGCCTCACAGTTAGGGTCCAAGCCACAGCCTAGGGCTCCCCAGCTACGCCTCCCCGGCAGAATGCTGGCCTGGGGCCTCTTCCCTGACCACCAGCTCCTCATCCCGGCCCTGCAGACTTTGCTTAGCCCAGAGTACAGAGCGACTCTGAGAACACTACACTTCTGCTCCTAACTCGCTGGTGCCTTCTCTGCTCACTGTGGGCAGAGGTTGACATCCTCACGCTGGCTGCTGGCCTTGGGGCCACCCCTTCAGCTCCCTCCGCATCGTGCTCCTCCTGGGCTTGGCCTTGCGGCCTCTGCCTTGGCGCCCTTTCGTCTGTAGCACGTGGCTGCTGTCTTCATCTCTGCTCCCCGCCCTCCCCTCTGAACGACGCTGACTCCCGCTGTCCCGCCAGGCCCTGTCTTTCTCAGGTCACACGTGACTCCCTGGCCTGCTAAGACTTCTCTTGTTTCCCATGATTGCTGTCTCCCCCAGGGGTGGCAGGGTTGTCTCCTAGAACAGGGCCTGTTTACCACAGCCCTGTAATAAATGTTTCCTGCGTGCACGGCGAGGGGGAAATGAGTGGAAAATCCGGCTCTTACCCACACTGCCTTTTTGTCCCTTTGGTCCTTCTGGACCAGTGTGGCCCAAGGGCCCAGGGCTACCTGTGGACAAACGAGAGGACCTCAGCCCCGACTCCTCTGGAAACAGCAGCCAGGACAGAGCTGCCAAGGGCCAGCAGCCCAGAAGTCACCGGGGTTACACACCTGGAGTCCCAGGAAGGCCTCGGTCTCCTGCAGGGACAAAGGTAGAGACCTGTTAGCCAGGGGACCTAGCCCAGGTCCCTGAAGGAGCCGCTGGTGGGAATCGGGTTAGGGATGCCAAGCGAGCGATGAAAATACAATGAGCGCATGTTTTTAGTATAACTATGTCCCATAACTATGTGAGACACTGTCGTGAAGAATGAGAAACACAGCTGCACACACATCACAGGAGGCTGCGAGTGCTGTATTTTACCTGACAGCAGCGGGCTCAGGGGCCTAGAACCATCGGTTCTGAGGTCTGGGCTGCAGGAGGGGAATGAGGCGCTCTGGAGGGTCCGGGGGTAGGGAACCCAGTTCCTGTGCTTGGGTCTCTGGGAGAGCACGGCGAGCTGGGGACAGAGGGCGACCCTGACAGGGGAGGTGGCTGTCCGTGTGGATGTGCATGCCGGCTACAATCACCTGGGGTGCTCAGACCCGAGGTTCCTGACTGCATTGACATCCACTGAGCCAGGGCCCCGGAGGTGGCCCGTCCTCTGGCAGTTTCTATGTGCACCAGGCTTTGCCAAGCCCAGCCAGATGGGACAAGAAGATCCACGCTGTGTCCAGTGGGGCCAGGGGGCTGGCACCTCCTCCTCCTGATCTGACGGGAGGTGGGCTGGGGCCGTGAGCGTGGTGTGGGGGGTGGGGCGCGGCTGTAGGTACAGACGGGGCTTCGCCCGTGGTTCCTAACGGGACCCTGGCCAGGTCTGTCTGCAGCCCTGGGGTTGAGGGCCCCTGCTTTAAACCATGCTCAACCTTTCTCAGATGGGAAGGGATGGAGAGGTGAGGGATGGCAGGAGAAGGAGATAGAAAAGGGCCGAGATGGGCCATGCACTGCACCAACTGTACATCATGAACGGAAATATGTGCTGATGAAAGATTCAAAATAAAAAGTGAAAATGTCCATGTTGTATTTACCTTTCGGACCTTGACTGCCCATGTCACCTAAAAGCGGAAAGAAATGGAAAGTATGAGAGGCACAGGAGCTCAAGGGCCTGTCTGCCTCTCCACAGTGCGTCACAGCTGCATGACAGTGTGGGAGCCACACGTCAGGGAGAGGGGACCGGTGTGGTCCCTCTGCTCCCATGTGCGCCACTAGGGCAGGTCGCTGAGCCTCCCCTAGCTGCCGCCTGGGTCCCTCCCCATGGTAAGACCTAACTCAAGCTGGTTCTCAGCCCTCTGGGAAAGTGGTTCAGATTCTCATGCTTTCATTTGGAAAAAACAGAAGACGTTTCTGGTCCCCCTGGAACAGTGCCTCCCACGGTGGGACCGAGCGTGGGGAAAGGGCTTGAGTCCCTGCAGTACCTTTAGGGCCAGGGCTCCCACGGAGATTTCCTGCAAGAGAGCGAGTCCAGGATTAGGTCACATCTGTACCCGTGCACACACACAAGAGGGTGTCGTGGGCCACGGGGGAAACTGAGGCTAGTGCGAGGACTCGGGCTCTGCTCCCAAGCTTGGCAATTGTCCCACAGTCAAATGGGGTCCCAGGGCTGGCGCCCCTTCCTCCTGGGGCCATGAAGAAGACGAGCAGGAGGGAGGTTGAGAGTGGCTGAGTGGGGTCGCCAGCCCTTGGTCGCTTGCCACCTGGAGACAAAGCAGCAGACCGGGGTGAGCCAGCCCTGCACCCCGCACACGCTCACCGTTCTCCTGCTCCCTCAGCAGCCTGTTCCTCACGAACACCCAGAGCTCCTCCTGGCTGAGGCCGCCCACAGACCCGGCCCTGCTGGCACCCACTCCCTCGCCGGGCGTGGCACCCTGGAGCCGCTCCCTGTGGCTCTTTTCCATCTGGTCCTCATAGTACAGCACGCCGCCCCGGCTCCTCTCCAGCTCGTCCACACGGGCTTTCAGCTTCCTCACCTCCTCTGCTGCAAAGGGACAAAGGACAGATGGTGCCATTGGCGAGAGCCCGTCCTGTGCCCCACAGTCGCTGCTGTGGGGAGCCAGCACGGCCTGGTCTGGGCAGCTTCTTCAGGGTTAACCCACGGTCACCCTCTCGGAAATGGCCTGGGCTTGTTGGCTGAACTGAGTGCAGAGCTCATCCTCCTGCTGTTGGAAAAGGCGAAAAGCCAAAGGCTGCAGACTGGCTGTGCTGACAGCCTCTAGCAGCCACAGGTGGGACTAGGCTGCCCTAGGGTCCCGGCTACATGCTGGGGGACCACATGCCCTGCCAGGGGCCTCCCGAGCCTCAGTTTCCTCATCTGTGGCAATGCGGGGTTTGCATCTATGACTTGAGACCTCTGGCCAGTGCCTGCCTTTGGAAGGGCAGTGGGCTTGGGCAGGTCCTGCTCCCTGCCATGCAGACTGCCCTGGGACCTTTGCACCTACCCAGAGCGATGAGGCCAAAGAGCAGCCCCAGGAGCAGGAGCCAGGTGAGCAGCAGGCCCAGCAGCCACTTCCACCAGCTGCAGCAGGAGCCACAGGGGCACCAGGAGGGCGCGGCCCCCCACAGTCCTCCAGCGCCACCACCGCCACCACCACGGTGCTCATAGCCATGGGTTTCTGCAGAAAAAACAGGAAGGCGTGGTGATGGAGGCACTTCTGCCCCTTTCCCTCCAAAGTCCCAGCTTTGGGGGACTCCCCGTGGCCCAGGTGCTGGGGCAGGGCTTTGTGCTGAGCAGCAGCCCAGAGGAGTGGAAGTCTGGCGATCGTGGGCCTGAGCGTGTGTCCCTCACAGGTCTCTGAACCTGTAATTGGTGTGGAGATGATCTCCTTCACGATAGTTCCCCAGTGCAATGAGGCAGCTTCGGCAGCAGCACACAGCTTGAGGCTGGGGCCCTCTGTACTGTGCGGACCGCACTGCCCTGGTCTGCCACCACCCAACCTGTACCAGGCCTCACCTGAAGTCTTCCCACGGCCTGTCTTGCTTCACACGACTCATGCTTTGTGGTCCCCGTGGTGCCCAGAGTCACACACAGTACTTAATGGGGCCCAGTCAGCCCAAAAAGTTGTTTGATGTCTCCAATAGGGATGTAGGGAGGAGAGGAGGGCCAGACCATTGGGCTCGAGTCACCCTGGGCCCCCACACAGGGTGTGAGCTCTTCCTGGGGTCAGAGCTGAGGACTCTGCCTACAGCTGCCAGTTAGGGAGCAGGGCCTGTGAAGTGCCGTTGCAGCGCTGGGCTTCTCTGAGGCCACCTGCAGCCTGCAGCCTGCCCTCAGCCTGCTCCTTCCGGAGTCTGTGGGGAGCCACAGCTGGTGGCTCCCATGTGCATGGGCGCCAGGCAAGGGGCCGCCCTGTCACCCGCCACTCCAGCCCCGGGGTCTGTCATGGCAGAGGCCCCTCTCACCCACCTGCGGACGCAGACTTGCCCTTGGTGGAGACAACCTTCACATCTCCTGAAAGGCAAACGGGTTTGGACCTGAGCTTGTCATCCTGCCCCTTGCATTGGTTCTGGGGATACAGTCACACTCCACACACATGCTTGCATACACCCAAGGCACCCTGCAAACAGCAAGCCACTCAGTCCTCATGGATCTGGTATTTACAACAGCATCCACGAAGACGTGGCTTGGCCAACAAGTGACGGAGGAAGAGAGCTAGTGTTTAAACACTCTTGCAGCCTTGAACCTTTAAATGTCAATGTTTTGGAAGATCACGTTGGGGGTGACATTGACATTCAAACAATAAGTGTGCTTGTGAGAGATGACTGATGTTTTCTTTTCCTTTGGCCCTGGGAATTGAACACGGGCCTCACCCACATGAGGGACACGCTGCATGCGGACTTCTCTCTTGGCTAAGGGACTGTGAACACAGTTGTGGTCATGGTCAGCAGCCCCACCTCCTGTGGGAGGGCACTGAGGATGTTTGGCCAGGACTGGCATGGAGAGCCAAGTCTGTGATACTATTTGAGCATTTGTGGGCATGCATGGAGTTTTCTGTGAGTTTGTCAATACTTTTCATAGTATTCCAAAAAAAAAAGAAGTGTTTTTGGACTTCACAGCCCTGGCTCCACCCCTAAAATGTGAGGAATCGCTAACCTTGCTGATTTAGTCAGGTTCTAATCCCCTCACTCTCCGAGTCAGGGTGGTGACTGGCTTCACTTGCATTTACTTTACAATGTTCCATGAGTTGCGTTTCCCCACTTTACGACCTCCCTGAAATAGCTGTTTGGAGGATGCTGCAGGACTTTGTGAAGAAAGGTGTTTAGACAAGAAAGAACCCAAATATTCGGGAAGGAAAAAAAAAAGCAAAGCTAGAAAGGCTTTGCAGGATACTTTCCTAATCATGGGAGGACCAGTAGGGTGAGACAAGAACGTCACAACTGCCACACCAGAGGAACACTCTGCACACCCATGCTCTCCCGGGGAGCTGGTTAGAACAGCTCCCTCCACAGCAGGTCTCGGGTGGGGGGCTGGAGGGTGTGGGGTCTGGGTTCCACTGGCTTGGGGACACACCCTGAGTGGCACGGTCTCAGGAGAGGAAGAAATGAAACGCGGCCAGTTTGCTCTTACCGTTCGTGTCTGCTTTTAGGCAGGTGTCGGCAGTGTAGGCAGCCTCCTTTTCTTTTTTCAGGGTGTCTTCTGAAAAAGAAGCTGTGCACAGAACCCATGATAACCTGGCACCTCCTCCCCCACCTCTCCCATCCTGCCCCACATCCCCTGGCTGCTCGGAGAGGTCAAAGTGAGCCAGATGTGAAAAAGCCCTGCTCGTGTTGGGCCAATCTCCCAGGGCCTTGCTTGTGTCAGACCTGCTGTTGCTCAGAGACCCCCCTGGAAACTGCCTGAGTCTTCACGGCTCTTCTGCCTTCAGGACAGCCCCCCGACACTCTATTAGGGCAGGCATTTTCCACCAGGGTGGCGTAGCCCTGGGTTCCTGACAAAATCCCCTCAGATCCCTTTGCTAGGCCGCCCGGCTCTGGCGTACTTGCAGCAATGCCGGCGGGGGTGGCAGTGAAGACTTTCCCACTGTCCTTGGTCATGATCAGCAGCTCCATCTCCTTCTTGGAAGGCACATTGTCTTTCTCCAGGATCAGGAACTTGCAGTCCTTGTGCAAGAGGTCATCACTTTGGACATTGGTGGTGCAGGCTGAGGAGGAAGGAGGCCCAGGAGGAGGAAGGAGAATGTGCCCGAAGAGGGGAGAGGGAAGCAGCAAGCAGAGCAGAGAGGAGGAAGGAGGTAGAGCGAGATTAGTGAGAGCTAGGGTGAGGCTCCTGTTCTCCCTGACAGTGGTGCTATGAAGTTCTTGGGGGGCCAAAGACACCCCTCCATCCGGCTGGCTGGGCCTGGCCACCAGGAGGTCGAGTCAGTGACAGGGGTGCTGGGCCAGTGGCCAGTGGGTCTGCGTCCCCACCCAGCAGCACGGGATCTTTGCCAAATGGGTGACCTACCCCCTGCCTCAGCCAGGCAGGACCTTTAACTAGAGTGACTTCTAAATGCTGTCTTTGCCGTCTTGAGGAGGCTCTTCCTGACCAGTTGCCCACCCCTACACATGCACTCCTGTTTCCACCACATCATGGGCAGTGCATTTTCTGCAGCGATCCTGTGTGTTTTGTCTTTGTGTTTGCCATCTGCCTGCTCCACTGGAGTCATCAGGTTGGTGAGGGCAGGAGTCTGCCCTGCTTTGGTCGCAGTTGCTCCCAGCACTTAGAACAGAGTCTCTTATACAAACTCAGTGCCCGGTAACATTTTTTTTTTTTAAACCAGTGACTGCTGAACAGAAGCAACACTGGGGTCAGAGCAGAGGAGAAAGTGGGCTCGCAGTGTGGCGTGGAATCCAACTTACAAAGATTCTGTAGGAAGCAGGGAGGGTGCTGGCAAGGAGGGGCTCCCTGGTTCTTACAGTGGGTACCAAAGGACTGTAGTCAAGTGGGTGGCTGGACAGTAAGTGCAGATCCCGAGCAGGTGCGGTGGGTGGGGCTTTCTGCCCCCTTGGGTGGGAAGGGCCGAGGTAAGTTCAGGGTACGCTCATCTCTGTGCTCAGAGAAACATTCGGGAGACCCTTGGGGTGGGTTGTGTTTGTGGACCTCAGAGCACGCATGGATTCTGTCCCCTGCTCCTGTACACCCTGGGTCACAGCTGGGCAATTCTGCCTGGGTGCTGGCCTGACCCCCGGCAGCGGAGAGCAGCACTCACTGGTAGAGGTGGTGGACACGCCAGTGCTCACAACAGCGGGGCTCTGGGACACATTTTTCTTCACACCATGTGCTGCAGGAGAAGGACCATAGTGTGAGCTCGCCAGCACGGAGGAAGGCGCCTGCAGCTCTGAGCAGCTAAATCAGCCCTGGCAGAGGTGGCCTCCTCAGGTGAGGTGGGCCCCGGCTAAACTTCTCCAGCCACCGGAGCAGCGAAGAGGGCTTAGATGGGACATTCATGGGTACAGTCACGCTCACCCTTCTAGGACTGTTCCAGGGCCCACCTATCCCAGGAAGTCCTCTTAGGCCTCATATCCATCCCTTCTTCCTGCATTCCCACCCCACGCAATGTCTCGTTTCATTCCTGTCATTGCTGCAAGTGCATGTGTTAGACTTTCCACTCCAGCATGCAGGTTGAAGGCGAAGGCCGAGGCTCGTGACTCTCCCCCCTGCCCCAGCTTCCAGCTTTGCACAGGTCAGCAGCCTGGGGTCCACCATAAAATCAACCAGGGGACTGATCTGTGGTGACAGTGGGGCTGAGCAGGAGTGAGCTGTGTGCTGGAGGGACCACCAGGCTGGCCAAGGCACAGTGAGACCCATGAGGACGTGCAGGTGACACATGCCAGGGCACAGACGCCCCTGTGGGGCAAACTGGCCTGCACATGGTCAAGGGTGCCGCCTCAAGTCTGGGAGGGGCTGTTCTGGGGAGAGGCCAGTCCCTTTTCAGGGGCCTTTCAGTCCTTCTGAGCTGCCGAAAGGGGTACTGAGAGCCGTGTCCTCAGGGAGGTGCCACTTTCCAACTCCAGAACGGGACCCGGCTACTGACCTGTTGAAGTGGCGGCTGTGCCATGGGACAGAGCAGCTGAGCTGGAGGCCAGATTGTTCTGCATTCCAAACACTGTGAGAGGGACCGGGAGCTGTGAGAACCGGTGCATGGACGCTGCCTCCCTACAAGCTGCAGGCCACCTCCTCAAGCCCCCGACCCCCTTTCGTGACAAACTGCTTTGCAGATGTCAGGTTTCCAGTCTTCCTCAATCCCCAGACTGTTAGTGACACACGTAATTTTCGTATGGCTCCACCTCCCCACCCCAGGCCAAATTTTACTAACAGTTCCTTTTGCTGGGCAGTTAGGACCACACAACTTAACAGCTAGCTGCAGTACATCCGGGGTCTGACAAGTGTTTCTGTAACCCTTGAGGTCCTAAAACATCCGGTGTTGGGACTGAGAGGCAAATACTCGGCAGATTCCTGGTTTCTCGACAACTCTTTCTTCTCTTCACTCAAACATGGAAAACTTCCCTAACCCTCCTTATCCCTTTCAAGACTCCTGGTTCATGTATTAACAACATCCAGAAACCCACTCGCCCTTAGGCGATTCAGGTGATGACACTGACCTGAGGAGCAGGAGCTGAGTCCAGGCTGCAGGGTTGGGGAGCAGGGGGCCAAGTTGTTTGGGACTCCAAAGACTGCAGGGAAGAGGAAGGGTGGGTGAGAGGGGTTCTGGTCATCACAGGAAATGCCAGGACTGGGTTTTTATGTATGGTTACATTTTGTCTTTTGGAAACATCTCATGTTCAGTTCTGTCGCCTGGCAGCAGAGAACCAAACACCAGGCTGTGGTTCACGTCGGGCCCCAGCTGACAGGTGATCTTCAGTTGGTAGTGGACAGAAGCTTTGAAGTGGACGACTTGCTCAAGGTTGGGTCCCACAGTGGACTGACGTGGGCGATGACAGAGCCCCAGAGTCCCATCCGGTGTCCTTCCCCGTTCCCCCACTTTTCCCGATACCCGGTTCTATATTCCTTTCTATAGGACAAGACTGGAAGAGACGCCTTCTGGACAGCACTGACCAGACATTCCAGGCAAAGTCGTGGCTTGTCTGGCTGAAGAAAACCTCCCCATTTGCCCCAGGGACAGCAAACGCCCCAGCGTTCATTCAGCTCCAGGGCAGAGATGCGGAGACTTGGATTGCGCGGGGGGAGGGAGCGCACAGCGGCCACCTACCTGAGCCTGCTGAGTAGGCGTTGGTGTTGAGCAGGGAGGAGCTCTGGGCCGTCACGTTGTTGTGATAGGTCCCCGTGGAGGACCCCGCCGGCAAGGTGGAGGACCACAGATGGGAGGGCAGGTTGGCATCCAGGATGGTGGTGTCGTAGGTGCCCGACACTGGAATCCAATATGAGCACTTGTCAGGGAGAGAAGAGTCCACATCTCCCCACTGGGGGAATGTGGTGGTTTGGCTTCCAGGGACTACCCTAGGGTCCCACATCCCAGCAACCCAGGGGCCAGGGCAGCCGGGCAGCCATCTCACTTTTCACTGAAATGTCAGTGCTGGTGAAAACCAATCTCACCAGCCCTTGGTGAGATGCAAAGTTGATCTGGGCTCTTTCTCCCCACCTCCTGGCAGGATGTCCCACTGTTTGCTGGCTCCTCCATTGTCAAAGATTGGGGGCAGCTCTCTTGGAGCCAGCGAGACCCCAAATCAAAACTCGGACAGAGTCCCAGACACATGTGGGGGTCAGGCAGGACTGCCCTCGGGTCTGAGGCCACACTGCGCACATCCCCACCTGCCCCGCCGCCTGGTGGTGCTGGCCAGCCCAGGGGTGATAAAGCACCCAAGGCTTGGCTTCATAGGAAAAGCACAAGGAAGGTCAGGCCCGTTGATCTTTCCTAGGTGTGAACAAGAGGCAAGCAGCGTTTCAGAGAGAACTTGGTTGCTTTCCTCCCTCCCTCTGAGGCTCTGCTCGTTTGTCTTCCTGACCGCGAAACCTCCTTTGCGCTCGGTAAGCACTTGACACACGGGTGCTGGACACCAGTCGTCCCACCCCTTGGTTTCCTGTTCACTCCCCAGACCCAGCACCAAGAGGGCAGCAGCTGTGTCTGTCTTGCCCACTGCTCTCCCTCAGCGCCTGGCACTGGACGCAGAAGAGGCAAGTAGTAAATGCTCAGCAGAGAAGGAGCGAAAACGCTACGGCTTCCCTGTACTCTGTGTGTGGGGAGCCTGACCAACACAGCCAACTGTGCAGAGGCCACTGGAGGAAAGGAGCCAGACTCCTGCATGTCTGTGAGGTGGTTCACTGTGTGGGCGCAGGACACAGCCCGAGGGTTCTCGCTGCAGAGACAGTGGATTGACCTTGTTTTGCGGTTCACCCTTTTTCCTCCTAAGCCCTTTCTCCCTCCCTCTGACTTCTCTGGCAAAGCCTGAAGGGGTCCAGGGCGCCGCTGGTTCCCAGCCAGTGTAAGTCTGCACCTTCTTCCTGCCCCCCACAGCCTGGGTCCGGGCTTACCTGACTGGGAGGTGGCTGTCATGACTTTGGTCTCCACGGTGCCTTTCTTGGGGATGGGGAGAGTGTTGGACGAGTTCCGGGTGGGGCTGGCACTTGCCGATCGGCTGCCCTTGAGCAGACGCTTGACATCATCCAACTCTGTCCCTGTGGAGGAATCCCCAAAGTTCCCCTCAGGCCCAGGACTCCGCTGAAAAGCTGCAGTGAGGGGAACATCCAAGGTGTGCTTCCCACATCGGGCATTTTTGGTTAGCTTTATACTTTTTGTGTTTTGCTAATTATAACACTTAATCCACCTAGCCCTGGATAATATTAATAGCCTCATAAATATACCTCGCAAGAGGTCAAACAGATGCCACAGAGATGTTCTGGTGGCTGTCACCTGGGCGTGGGCAGTTAGAAACCAGGTCTGCGGAGCACATGGTCACCTCACCTCTGCACAGGGTGCCCTGGATGTCGGGTCCTGGCCCTGTGCTGGGGGTGTCCAGAGGAGCCTGTGGCCCAAAGACCTGGACATCACCCTGCATTCACACATGACTCAAGTTCAAGTCCAGCCCACTGATTCTCTGTGTAGCAAGGTAAGCTAGGCAACAAGCTCCTCGTGCTTCCTCCCAAAGTGGAAAATGTGACAGAAGGGGGCACTGAGCAAGGGCAACACAGAGGAGGAGTCTGGCAGGCCCACGCAAGTCAGTGCTGGACCTCACGGGCTCCTCCCCCACCCCCAGAGCTCTGTCCTTTGGCTTGACACCCCGAGCCCAGAAGGACTCGGCTGACCAGATCCCACCGCCAAGGAGCTGAACTTGGGAGCTGAGCTCCTGCTTCAGTGTCCTGACCCAGCCCATGTTTCACCATGTACTTGGTTTCCAGCCTAAAAGTTAGGCTTTTCAAAACCTTGCCAAATAGCCTCTAAAGAGAGCAGCAGGTCTTAAATCCAGTGTGGGGATACCGGGAGTCTTCAGCCTTGGAGGTGAAGCTGGAGCCACCACAGTGTACTGGTTCTGTCCAAGCCGAACTTGTCCATTGCATCCCCACCCTGAACCATGCCTCAGACTCTAATTCAGGTCCATCCTTTAGGGCACACCTGGCCCAGGCAGACCTCTCTGCCCTAGGCTGGCATGGAGCCGCCCTGGGCTGTATCGCCTCACCACACAGCTGTGACGTTGGCTGGTCCACCTTCTCCACATTGCTGTATGAGCCTCTAAGCAGCAACTAAAGCCCAGCTCCTAACAGAGGGGAACTCACAGAAGACCCTTAAAGATGCTTTCTGATTGAGTGCACACACACAGCACTAGTCCGTAACTCCTAAATAGTACACAGTATTCACGTGGGCCATTGACCACTTACATCTGGTAGAAGGCGACGCACTCTGCAGCCGAACTCGAATTTCACTCTCTGTGCAAAGAAAGAGACACGCCGGCCGTGAGCGGAGGAGCCCAGGCTGTGGCTCCTGACTCCGAGCTCTGAGTGGTTTCAAGCTGTTCTGAGATTTCTGTGCCCACAAACGGGAAACCTAGCTGTCCTAAGAGGGATGCTGCCTCACCTCACCTGTCCCTCCCTTCCAGGCACCCGAGACCCGATGGCATCTCAGGGCAGGGAGGTTGCACGGCACTCAGCAGTGACTGTTCCCTTTCAAGCTTCTCCCCTGCCTCTGTGCTCCCTTGGGCACAGGGAAGCCCAAGCCTGCAGTGTGCTGACGGCTGCTGAGGCCAGGCCTCGCCTGCCCTTCTGTGCATGTCACGAGTCCCAGCGTGAGGCTGGCTCCCACGAACTGCCTGGGAAGTGCGAACCGAATGAGTTGAACCAAAGCCGGTGACAGGGCTCACCTCGAGTTTGGCTCCGTCCTCTGGTGGCAGAAGATGCTGGGAAGGAGATACATGCAGTTTTAGGCATATAGAAGAAGAGGTACGCTGGATATTTTTGACAGGAAGGTAAATACTTGGGAGAGTGTTTTCTTACTGTGTGAAAACCCAGTAAAGGGCTCTTCTGTACAGCAGATGCTTAGTAAATGATGACCACATAGCAATCAATGATGACTGCATAGCTGAAGGGCAGAGAGCGACCCGAATGCCCCAATGCAGTAAGATGTTCCCTTACTAATGCTTAATTTAGCCTGAGGCAGTCTACCTGGGAGCACAGCGCCTCTGTCTTGGCTGACAACACTGATCAAATAGATCAAAAGCTGTCAAGTCATCCCTTTAGTTTATTAGAGCCTGCTTTGGTTTTCAAGTATAAGCAAATAAATAAAATATTCACTGTATGATCAGTGGTCATATCCTCAATTTATGAGCCCAGTAAGCTTCCAAGAACAGGGACCAAAGACCTGAGGCCAAATGAAGACTTGGTCTAGGGTTCTCTAGGCCATGATGGGGCTCTTGGAAGCAAGCTAGGGTGGAGGTGCTAGAGTGAGGGCATCGGTTGCTCTGTGACTGCTGGGTGTCTTTGCAGGAAGGTCCCCGTGCCTCTCATGGAGGAGGAATCTCAGCATTTACTGCTTGGCCTTAGCGGTGTATCTGCCCAACCACGAATCTTGTGTAAACAGCTTGCATTTTAACAGTGCTGCGAGCAAATGCTTGTGAAAGCAAGAAATGTGATGGACAGTCCCTGTGAGATGAAGCACAGGGAACGACAAGCCGGCAGTCACCTCTTCTGATGCATCTGGTCGGCTCATGGTGTTTCCCGCCCACCACCCAGCCCTGCAGGCTCAGAGAACCAGGGAGAACATACCGAACTCCTTCCGAGGGTACTCCGGGGAAGAGTTGCCACTGGAACTCCCTGCAGAGGGGGACGAATGCTTAGCACAGCTGGCCTCCTGGGCCTGTGAACTTCCCAGAGAATGGGCCACTCCAGCCCCTTCTTCCTACCCCACGGCCACAGGCATTTGAGGAAGGGTGAGCAGGCATTTGGAAAGAATCAGGCTCAAGACTTAGAACGTGACTCCCCAGTTCTCTGACCATGTGACGCTCATTTCTGCAAGTGGATCCTGTTCACGTAAAGGTATGAGCCCTGCCCAGGCCTAACATCAGAAAGCACTGTGGAGGGCTGGGGACGTAGCTTAGTGGAAGACGAACGAAGAAAGGAGAAAGAAAGAAGAAGAAACAAGGAGAAGGGGGGG